ACGAGCAACCTGTTTGCACAGGCATACAGGCAAACAGGTTGCTCGTAGATACATTGTCATAGGTGGATGCACAGATTCGTACTTGCAAAGAAGAGATAAAATTTAAGGGATTTTACAGGTCCAGTGAAATTTGTTGACACTTACAAAGGAAGGCAATTAACTTTACAACAGTACTTTTTATATATTCATGCCTGTGGGCCAACAGGATCTTGTGTTAACACAATTCCTTCTTTCCCTCCCTACAATCCCCCTCCCTCCCTCCCTCCCTCCAACTAACCGGCCCGCTTTCCCTCTTTTATTGAGCGTACGTAAATGCATCGGTTAGTCAGGGTGTTATTTATTTGTCGGAATCTTTTCGTGGGCTTTTTATGTGTGTGTGTGTGTGTGTGTGTGTGTGTGTGTGTGTGTGTGTGTGTGTGTGAGAGAGTGTGTGTGTGAGAGAGAGAGAGAGAGAGAGAGAGAGAGAGAGAGAGAGAGAGAGAGAGAGAGAGAGACAGAGAAAATGAAGAAGAAAGTGACAGAGAGAGAAATGGAGAGACAGAAAGAAAGAAACAGAAGAAAAGAGACAGACAGAATGACAGACTGATAGACAGGCAGAGATATAAAGAAGAGAGATTATGCAAAAGAATCATTTTGACAGTAGAATATGACCGAGGCTCATTTCTCTTTACAAGATTATAAAAAAAACTAATCATTATATATATATCCTTAATTTCATCACCTCATCCAAGAAGAGGGGTGTGGGCAATATATCTGGAGTAGATTAACAGTGTACTACTAAATGGAACACACAAAGAACAAAACAAGAAATTCAATTGCTATCTCAAAACTAACTGTAACCCCCTTAGCAGTATATGCCATGTTAAAAGAAAAAACTTTGAACTTAGCAGTACATTTTACAGTAATAGCAAAAACTTTGAAGCCTTACTCAAATATTACCAGATCTCAAGATTCAGATAAAATACTTTTCACATACTTGTAATTAAACCCAAGGAAAGATTTCTGGGAGAAAAAACGTTTTTGATACCTTACTCAATAAAATACTTTGAACCAGATCTCAGATAAAATACTTTTCACATACTTGAATCCAAGGAAAGGTTTCTCGGAAAGAAGGTTCCACAACAACACAAGTCAGAGAAAAAGATCAGTCTAACCTGCGCAAACGGCCATTTGTGCAATACAACAACCTGTATAATGTATAAACAACCACTTCCAACTCCCCCCCCCCCCTGTGCTTTTTCTATATTCTGGTGCACTGTCCAAGAAAACCACTTGTACTGGGTCCACAGTTTCAACAGTACTTTCTTTCCTTCCAGTTCCTTGCCCATATCTTAAAAACAAAACAATGCTATCTGGGTAACAGATCAATCACTTTGGACAGGAAACATTTTTTTTACTTACAAAGACTAGAATGGTGGCAATAATTCTCGTTTTGGCAAACATTTTCTTGAGCTGGTTGCAGGGTCCCATGAGGAAGCAGGTACTGGTGACGAAAAGCAAAGAAGCCAGAGTCAGTCTCACTTCAGTTTTAGAAGGAGTTTTACAGCATTGCAACATAATTATGTAATAAAGGCGCCGAAGATAAGAGGTGTCCCAAGAGAGTGACATGCAAAGAAAAGAAGGAGGGGAGATACGCCTGACTACAAGAAAATCCTAATCCCTCTACGTCTCTCTGAAACTTGCTCCAGTCCAATATCTCCTACTTTTTAAAAACTACTGAGTTACCGCTCATCCACTTCCGTACATGCTTATTGTCAGCTAATTTTGTAGCGGTTTGGAAGGAAACTTATAGCAGTATTAGTGTGGGTACATAAATTTGTGGGTGTGGCTGGAGGCAGCCGATGTGGGCCTGTTGTCTGCTCAGGGAGGCAAGTAAGGTAGAAACGGGTTAAACACTAATACAGAAATACTCTTTCTATTTTATTTTCTCAGGAAAAGACGAAGAGTATCTCAACAGTCAACTACTTTTTTTTTATCCAACATTCAGCTCTCTCACCACTTCAGTATAATAACAAGAAAACAAATGCACATAACAAAAGTAGATGGAGTCAAAAGCAAACCCAAATAGCGAAAAACTATTCACTGCCGTACAGCAAATGTACAATAATGTTTGATCAAGAATAGAATTAGTATGCATAATATAATATGATACACCAGAGGCACATAATATATTATTCAACCGAAAGAAGTCAACTGAGACATTTTTCTTTTTATATTTACACACATTCCATTAACCTATAACATTCTTGGGGCAGAAGTTCAAAGATTTTGATGACATTATAACAGGTCACAAACTTACCTCATTAACGACAAAATATTTCCAATTGTGTACAGCACACCAAAAATGATCAACCCATTCTTCAGGAACAACAGGCAACTTCCCTGTGGAGAAACATTAAAAACGAAATGTAAAAAACATTACAGATGAAATGTAAAAAACATTACTAACAAACAAAATCTAGAAAACATACAAACTTAATGTAGAAAACAATATAAATGAAATGTAAAAACAGTCCAAATGAAATGTACGCGCATGGAGAGAAACAAACTTTTTTATTTCCCCATACACAAACAAACATACACTGTACATATACCTTGGATACTCTTTGAAGATGGATCTACAGATGTTGATTATACTCTATCAAAGTTGAAATGCGGCCACTTATTTGTCAAAGTCGCAGAGGAAAAACTTATCAATATTAACCCATCAGATTTTTAAAATTTCCATTAAATTGTAGAGTACAGCCCATTAGAGTAATACATGGAAATAAACTTGTTGAGTTCAAAAAAGGAAATCAATGTGTGACTGTATATGATATCACAGTAAAAACATTGTTACTAACAATTATAGCCTCATCATCATCATCCAGTGCCAGTTCTGCGACAGACATCGGCCATCATGGTTTTCCATTCATTTCATTCCTTTGCTCGGATGCTCTCAGAAAAGCTACGTTTCCCTGATTTTTCCCTGTTACCCATTTGTTTAGGTTCCCTTAGTATGTTGTTCTGGGTCTACCCCTGCCTCGCTTGCCCTCAATTTTTCCAGTGAGAGCTAGATGTTCAAGACCCTTATGTCTATTCAGGTGTCCCAAAAACTGCATTTGTCGTTTCCTGATTGTTTTTAACATTGAGCGTCCCACGTGGGCTTCATCAAGTACTACCTCATTTGATTTCTTTTCCTTCCATGATACTCTTAGCAGTCTCCTAAGAAACCACATTTCTGTTGCTTCTATTTTATTTTCACTGTCTTTAGTGATTAATTATAGCCTACCAGAGTTAAAAAGTAAAAACTAACTTGGAACTCATAGCCTACCAATGTCAAAAAGTAGCCACTAATTTGTAAACTGGCACCCATCACCACTTGAAAATTAAAGCCTATCCGAGTTCAAAAGCAGCCACTCCATTTCCTTTATCAGTAGGCTACATCTACTCACCAAAATGGAGAGACCAGCACCAAGGATGAAGCAGATGAGGAAACCTTTGATCCTGGTAGACCAGCTCAGGCTAGTAGCGTCACTGATCTGAGTGGGGAGGAGAAACATTTAAAAAATAGACTTAATGAGAATAATTGCTAAAAGACCTTTTGCTCCACCTTAAGTTTTGTTCTCTTTCCTTTTGAATTGTCTTCACTATTTCATCACTGAAGCTCATAACCTGAGATCAATCCCAAACAAAAATTAGTCAAAGGAGTCCAGACAGCTGCAATTCACTTTTTTCCCCCAAAGAAAAACATTTAATCACCAAGGCAAATGAATTCTTAAAATCCCAGCAACAACATCTTACAAACAAGTACAGACCACAAAAGAACATTATAGCTTTCACTGCTTTCAGTTCAGTACTACAAACTGTAATGCAAAAACTAAAATCATAGCTAATGAATGAAATACAACAAAAGTTTGCCAAAATGACAATTCAAACAAAAATTTATCTGCAAATAAAAGTAAATTCTTAACAAAAAAAGAACATAAATAAAATAATATTCAAACAACCAAACCAAAATCAGAATGGATCGGAATGTGACCAACTATTGTGAAAGTTACTAACACCTATTTTCCTATACTTCATATGTCCCTGCAATCCTGCCTTTAACAAAACCCCCCCACAAAAATAGACTATTGTACCCAAAATATATTCCCTTTCCCCCCATGCCTGGGGAGGGGCCTTGTTTGGCTAATTGTTTGGCTAACACATTTTTTAAGGTGTTTATTTAATCAGTAACAAAACTTTTCATTGCATTAAAGCATCATCACTTGTCATGGTAAAAGAATAACAAAGACCAATTTGCATCAATGTTCATATATCATACAGTAAAAAATATTAAAAGAAAAAAATCCTTCCATAAGATGACCTAAGAAGAGCAGGAACTCTATAAATTAAAAATGTCATACTATCATTGAGAAGTGAAAAGCTAAACTCACATATAATTTATTGCATTATTTCTCATACCATTTCAAAACAAACTAAATCTATAATACCATAATGTACATTTTATAGAAGTGGAAGGCAATCTTCTGGTGGAAATTTAAAATTCTATAACAAACGTTTATCTGTATACCCATTCAATGTTGCACAGCATAGAAAATACACCGGATCAAAGTTTCTTCACTTGATACAACTAGAAAAATGCCAACCATCTGAAAACTTTTGACTTTTTAAAAATGTCTTTGAGTTTCTTGCTTTGCATTTTTTCCCCAGCTGATGCTTAAGTAGGAATTTAACACATTTCTGAGCATATAAAGTACAAATAAATGTATGTCTTTCTTCACTCGTTCATACCCGAGTGGCCCTGATAAATGTTTAAATGTTAGTGTTTTTACGCACCAAGCAACATAATTTAGACCATTTAAGAGGCGAGCTTCAACCCAGCCTGTGAGGGCCAACCTGGGCTGAGATAAATACAGCATCCCAAAAGAAACACCAGGATATTCGAAAAAATTCTCCCCACACAGAAATTGAACTCGGGTCTCCTGCTTGCGCCATACCGCTACACCAGACGCTTGTTGAGTGGCCAAGGAGCTGGAGAGCTTCACCGGTTTTAAAAGCAAAAGTCCAGAAAACCCATACATAAAAAATATGATTATGAAAGGAGTATGTGCATCGGTAGAGTAACAATTTGACATAAAAACAAATTAAGAGCGCTTGCCATGAGAACTGTGCTTGGGGTGCAGATTGTAACTGTCCTCTCGCCAACCTCATTAAAATCTAAACGAACAACCAACTCTTTGAGTTTGTGTACATAATATCAAGGTCAGTGCAGCTGACATCACGGTGGAGCAAAGTATAAAAGCATGTGTATCTTTGTAAACCAAAAGAGTATGCCCTGGTGAATCAAATTTTCTTGAAACTGCATAAAATCATTAAGCAGTGCATCTTCAAAAACAAATTCATGAAAAGTGCATATCTGTGACATACCAGCTTTCATTTTCTCTTTATAACCTCATGAATCATAGATCTTAGAACCCAGAGTTTTTCATGCATCAAAATATTTACGAAACCAATGCCGCTCTTCCCAGGAGAACTCATTAATTAATAATAAAAGAGCTTGATGGAATACAACTTAAGACATTACAACTGTCAACTGGGGATGATTTTTTAGGCTATTTACATAAGTGGAATAAAAATTAGCTATTCTATCACTTACATCTTCCAATGAGTAGCTTAAAATATTTTTTTAAAAACATTCTCAGCTTTATACTACAAACTTGCCTACCTTAACCCATGGCTCAAATGGGTATCACTTGGGGGTTCTGTAACGATAAGACTGGCATAAAAGGCTACTCAAACATAGATTCCTCAACTCATGAAAGCTCTAATGGGAAAATTACTCAGATAAACGTATGCCAACACTCAATGCCCTTGAGTCAGACATCTGTACAGCCAAGGAAAATTTCCCTCTGGGATAATAAAGTACTATCTTATCTTATCTTAAAACACTAAATATATGGTCTGAAGAGCTGCCTGGAAGAAACCCAGCACCTCTGAGCATAAAATTTGAGCAAATGCTTTTTGTTTCATTCTGATTTATTACGTATGAACCCATTCAATCATAAAAGACTGATTTTAACTGGAGCAAAAAATAAGCTGAAAATAACTTCTTTTAAAAAAAAAATGTTTAAACACTAACTCATTCAGAAATACAAGCAAGACAGAATATGAACAACTTTAAATTTGCAAAGAATGACAAGTTCAGAAAGGTAAGCAAATAAAGAAATTAAAAAGAAACAAGAACCAAAGTATAAATTTTAAAGGAAAATCTTTAAAAACAAAAAACCGCTTTTTGAAAATCAAAATGTGCAATTTATGCAACTTTGACCTTTTAATTCATTTCACTTACATCCTCATAGCCGAAAAAGTTGCTCAATCTCTGAAGGAATGGAATTTTCACAAACAAAAGAAACATGTATGATGAGTTTTCAACCACTGTGCAGCAACTTTACGCATTGTAAAAAAAAAAAAATGATTAAACCCTAAAACACCCTAAACTCTTTTTATAAAAAAAAATAATTTTAAAAATAAAATAAAAAACACGGAAGCAGTAAGAACGTAAGAACCAATCCCAAAATACCAATAATTAAATCTGGTTGTAGCTCCTGGCCATTAACAAATTTGGTGTCTAGGGCTGAACATTTAAGGAATTATAAAGGCTATTATAATTAAACTGTTAAATACAGTTCATGTCTTTGTATTACCTTTTAAAAAATGGTCAGGAAGAAACTGAAAAGACAAAGTCTAGAGAACTGGAAAGGAAGATATATCTAATAGGAGAACATTTTTAAGAGAAGAACATACCTCCATCACTGGCAGCATTCAATCGCAGGACCTTTTGACTGAGAGGCGAACAACATCTCCAGACCACCAGAGCCCACATTTGATTTAGCTTGTATGCTGAATTTTAAATATTTTATTCTACTTTGACTCAGCACAAATCAGGCATTTCAGATTGTCTCGTCTATAGGAATGGTCCTCTACCACGTTTTGCTATGACTACTTGTCACATTATTATAGCATGCCAGTTAGTTAGCTAAGTAACAAATGGTGCTCTTACAAATGCTAATCTTTAATTTTAATATTCCTTCCCTATTTTCCCTTCATAATAGTATTCATAGTTCTTCATCTCACTTCTAAACAAGACACACATTCATTAGAGAGCGATTTTCATGCCGGAATTCCATAACGAGCTACCACTGATATTAAATATGGGTTTGGGATAGAATTAGGGTTAGGAGTTGGGTTTGGGTAAGAGTTCGGGACAGGGTTGGGTCCATTCTTTACTTATCTTTTGGGGGGTAATATCTCATTACGGTTCTCATTTACATGTCAAAAATAGAGACGATTCATTTGAATCTTTCTATCTCAGTGCACTACCTCAAATAATGAATCTCTTTATTTTCTTTTTCCTTTTTCCCTTGGCGACCCTCCCCGTGCCTTTCATTAAAACTAAATGGCAAATAGGCCTAATATAGAGCGGGGATGGGGAGGTGTAAAATATTATACTGCCAATATCATACTTCACAGGTTTTCCCTTATGAGGTTCTGAAACTTCACCCCTGCGACATTTGAGGAAACACTGTAACTGTACATAATATTTTTATGTAAATTTTTACTTTCACTCCCGCACAGAGTGGCACTGCTTTGAGAGTTAAACTGCAGTATTTTTTGCTGCAGGTCATACATAAAACCACTAAATCTGTCGCAAATCAATTATTTTCAAGAAAATTAAACTTTCAAACCTAACTGCAGAATATCAAATTTTGGGTTTAAACAGGGGGCATGCCTCCGGTAATACAAC